ATGTGACACTGTTCCAATACATATCACGGCAATGTCTAATTGCATACGTCTGCGACGAATGATCGGGACATTTCTTCTTAACGCGAGTAAGTACATTTGAAAATCCACATTTTCTTTCACGAAGAAGACGAACAATCGCAGAACAATATCGATTTCGTTTTCTCCTCCGCCAAGGAGGAGACACTCGCCCGAACGTAACCATGTCGCCCAACAATGTGAAATCCTGAAAGTATTTATACGAGCAGCCAAAATGCCTCGCGATGAAATCACATCATCGAACACGCGTAAAAAAATGCAACTTAGCATTTTGGTGAAGCGCCGATGTACGGCAGCTGTGACACAATAGATTCGCGTAATATAAGATTTTTTTTTAGGACAAATAATATGTCTCACTGCATCGAACACGTGTTAAAAATGCAATTCAACAATTTGATCAGCGCCGATGTACGGCAGCTGTCACACAATAGATTTGTGTAATATAAGATTTTTTTCGAGGACAAATAAAATGTATCGCGGTGAGATAATCGAACACGTGTTAAAAATGCAATTCAACAATTTGATCAGCGCCGATGTACGGCGGCTGTCACATAATACTTTTTTGTAATACATGATTTTTCAGGAACAATCAAAATATCGATGAGATCACCAAACATGTGTTAAAAATGCATTTTAGCATTTTTGCACAAGCGCCAATGTACGGCAGCTGTGACACAATAGATTGTAATATAATATTTTTTCAATCTAAATGTCTCACGGTCACGTCATCGAATACGTGTTAAAAATGCAATTAAGCATTTTGATCAAGCGCCAATGCATGGCAGCTTTCCGCGAGATCACGTCGCGAAATCAAACGATATCTGCAACATTTGCGAAAAATAGACCACACCCATTAGTTTTAGCATATATATTGCAAAGATTTTGATACACCTCGTCAGTGGTGAGATTTAATGCAACCAGGTGATTGTGAAAATGTAACTCTCGTTAATAAACATTGAAGAAATGATACCACCCGACGATTACATGGAGGTAGAAGTAGCGCATGAGGAAGATGACCAAGAATTGATGGAAATAGAAGAAGATTTTTCAGATGACTCAAGTAATGATAGTAGTATGGATAACGAAATGATCGAATTAGTAAGGCATGGATTATTGTACCCAGATGATGTTTATGATCTGCATATCACAGATATAATGTGCATGCTTGAGTTCTATTATATAGACGAAGAAGATGAAAGTCCGAGAAGATATTGTGTCCTTCTCATGTGTCATTAGAAGGAATAATCAATTTTCATATCTTCGTCTCTTGCGAAGACACACTGTCGAAGAATTTATACTCCACGATGGTTTTTCATGCTGGGGATGCGAATGTCCATTGTTTCAAATAATACCATGTGACATGTGTCCTATTTGCACAGAGTGAGAAAGACATTGCAAAATATTTGTATATTTATGCCAAAGAGAACATGGAGCAAACGATACGAAATCTGGACGAGCAAGTCGCCCGGCTGATTACGCGAGAAGACTTTATCGCGTGGGAAGAGCGTATCGACAAATTCATCGATTCGCTCGATGAACAGAGTCGAATTAAACGCCCGCGATTATCGATCGGTGTGAGACAATCTGTTATCGCTCGTATCGCGCAACTCGAAAGTTTGAAAGATGCGGTGCGCGGACGATTCGTACATGTGAGCGCTGGATTCAGTGCGGGACTCAGATGGCGTGAGATAGACACAGCTTTCAATAGTCGTATACCGGCCCAGTAATAAATTCCAGACACATTGAACCTCGACAGTTTTTGGAAGATGCGCGAGAAATTGTGCTTGAACGTGTGCAAAATGTTATGCAGAGACATAATAACATTAAGATAAACACTGTATTCAACGGTAACGGGTGACAAACGCGAGAATAAAAGTGTTATTACGAGAAACTGTGAACTCTATCTATGCTCCGATTTACGCGTGTGGTACGATTCGCGCGTTGTTGAGCCTACCTTAGCGTCACTGGAAGAATTCCAAGAACGTGACAGTGGGTGGGCATTATCGCGTATATTGAACTTATTAGTTAATATAAATAAGTTTAATCCTTTGCACGCGGGGTGTCATATCCAGTTACCGCGAGAAATTATAACGAAGAAAGCGGTCGTGAACGTGCAATCTGTGGGCAATGCATGTTTTGCATGGTCGGTAGTGGCCGCTCTATATCCAGCTGAAAGTCACGTGGATCGGGAATCATCGTATCCGCATTATAAATCTGTGTTAAATCTCAAAGACATTGAATTTCCAATGACTTTAAGTCAAATAAAAAAGTTTGAGAATCTCAACGCAATCTCCATCAACGTATATACCATCAGATCGGAAGAGCACACGTCTGAACTC